TCCGTAGGGTGGCCGGGCTCAGCCTTAGAGATAGGGTAAGGAGCTCGGTCATCAGGAGGGAGCTTGGAGTAGAGCCGCTACTCCTTCGCGTCGAAAGGAGTCAGCTGAGGTGGTTCGGGCATCTAATTAGGATGCCTCCTGGACGCCTCCCACTGGAGGTTTTCCAGGCACGTCCAACTGGGAAGAGACCCCGGGGAAGACCCAGAACACGCTGGAGAGATTACATCTCCCAGCTGGCCTGGGAACGCCTCGGGATCCCCCAGAATGAGCTGGAACATGTTGCCGGTGAGAGGGAGGTCTGGGTCGGCCTGCTTGACCTGCTGCCACCGCGACCCGACCCTGGATAAGCGGTGGAAAATGGATGGATGGATGGTGTCACTATGTTAAAAATGTTTAATGTCTTGCCCTCTCTTCACAGGCGCACAAGGATCCGAGCAAAGTAAATCCTGCCCTAATTTGAAGGAAGTGTAATTTTTAAATGGAAATTTTTTTTTAATTTAATAAAGCTGTTTTCTTAAATCATTTGTCTGTTAAATACTTGTCCAACTTCTACAGACATACATTTAGACACAGGAAGTTGTCAAACACCAATATGTAAATTGACAAACTGATAGGGTTGTAAGGATTATTAGATTTGGGTGAAAGATTAAAGCTGGCTAGTGAGGTAGACCTGTTACTGCACACATCTATTTTTTTTATTTTTATTCCACAGATTCATCAAAACCTGGAGTCTAGATAATTTAATGCAACTCTACCTCAGACAGCACTGAGTCGGCGGTCTTGTAAATGATTTCAGATTTTGGCACAGCTTCCTCTGCAGCCACAAAAGGCTTTACAACTTTTCCCATATGCATAAGTCACAACCAATAACTTGGTTTGATTACATTTCAGTCTAAAACCTTCAACCTAGCAGCTTCAGGACCCTGCAGCTGTATTCTTACAGCTTCCCAATACAAACAGTTGCTCCTTTTTGCCAAAATGTTTAGAATTACAAAACTACCAGAAAAAAATTCCCATTACAGTTAAGACAAGATCCTGGATCCAACTGGATAAATGAAAGGGTTTTCTCATGCCAACCAACAGCACTACTTAAAGACCTGCACAAAGCGGAGACATTCCCCCCCCCCCCCATTAATTTATTATTGCATAAACCAACCACCTCTTTAAAAGAAGTCCATACTGAGAAACGGGTTCAACCACACCTCACTAAAGGTAAGTTTAGTTTAGAGTTGCTCTGGGAAGTTTTCTGCCACTGTAGCAGGGCGACACCTTCTTAAAGTTAAAACAGGTTTTTGTGCACCATAGTACAGATGTGAATCTGCAATGAGCTTTGGGTTGTTTGAGCTACTCCACCTAGTTACATGCCTTTGTCCTAACATGTTAAAGTCTCAATGACAAATGCAGAGTATTTAAGGTAACCAGGTCTTCTGGTGCATCTGGTAGTGGACTCTAGGGTGGGAGACTGTACACCTAGAGAACAAAAACATTGTCGGCACGTACTGTATATATTGAGGTTGTGGTTCATTCAGGTCAACAGGGGAATCCCCTATAACTCTAGACTAAGAATGGGTCACAACTAACAGTTCTCTTTAACGTACTTCTTCAGAGAAAAACAAATGTGATGTTTGATTTGAGCCACAAGTGGTCAGTGCTGCCCCATTTTATGCTTCTGATGAAAGGTGCTGTAAATGGACATGGGTTGTTGTCTTTTCAGGGTATTTAGGGACTGTTACTGCAGTTTACATTTTATAATTAAAAATTACACAACTAAGCACAATAGGTTTGTAAAATAAACTATTCAGAGATGTGCACACGCATAAATACAACCATTTGTAGCAAACAGTAGCTGTGATTAATAGTTCTTATAATAAAAAACTATATGGGACAGAGTGATGCTGAAAAATGAATTCATGCACAAAAAAATAATGACAATGAAGAAAAAAAGGAATACAAACAAAACTGATAGCAACAATTTGGTTGCTCCATAACTCCTTTATTATAGTTTAACACACAGAGCAAATTGTTTCTTGCGCTCTGTTCAAGTATGCTGTCAGTTTACACAATGTGGCTGTTCAACATGTAGCCTACTGCACCCTCAGAAAACAGAGGACCAGTTTGATAGCACCATTATGAAAGGCACAATAAAATAGGATTCACACACACATTATTGTACGCAATGTTATTCTTTAAAACAAGGAATAAAACTAAAAAAAGACAAAAAACAACAGTAAGTAGCTAATATCTGCAACTCTGTCTGAATGGGGAGAAATGCTATTCCATGAGCTTCCTCTGAAAAGATATCTGAGCTCTTGTCTTCTTGCCACTGGGTGTGGAAGACTTAAAACATACTTTAGTTACACATCAGCTGAAATATCTTAAAGAACCATTCACTTTTTCAATGTATCGATAATATTTTTATAATTCAAATAAGAGGAAGAAAAAAGCTCTTTGGAGTAACATCAGAAATGCCTGTGAGCGGGTGTTTGATTGACAGCTGAGCTGACAAGAGTATGGACAAGATCGTCAGACAGCAGTTTGTTAGCAGTGGTACAATGTGCGACAGCTGACCAGCTAATTAGCTATCTACCCTGCAAACTGCCCATGGATGTTTACAGAGAAGTGGTACAGCAGTGGAGGCGGGGCAAGTTGCTCAGTGGGGCATCAAGCAAAAAATAAGTGTGACCTCAGAGTACACAATTCAGATAAATTGCATCCCGGATCTTGAAGCGATATTCCACATCAATAGGTCCAAAGAGCAAGCGCACTGGCGTTTCCTTTAACCCCGCCTCCCAGCCATCAGTCCAGCCTCGCTCTCGGGCTCATTCACATGAACTGAGGAAGTAGAATAAGTCTGGACACCTTTTAGGACCTACTGTTTTAAATAAGGGCTATTCAAGTGTTCATACTGGGAAGTGGATTTACCTCCACTGATTTACAGGCGTCTCTTTTTCAATGTAAGTCTATGGGAAAATGTCTTTTTGGGTCCAATGGCGTCACATGACGGCCCCTGAGGTTGTAATTCCAATGGTTGGCCAATAGGTAAAGTTGCTTCAAAGCCCGCCACTTCTCCTGGGGGCATGAAACTGCTCTCTAGTGTATATATATATATATTTAGAGAGAAAATAAATTCTAAAACATTTTTATATTTGATTTCAAGACACATTGCGACATTGATGCCCACAAGGGATTGTAGTGCAATTGTGCTTTGAAATGTGACCTAATTTAAACTGTGACTAATTCAGACCACAGTCTTGTCCAAGACGTTTTCAGAGCAATTTCAGAGAATATATGCTCCAGTTATTTAAAGAGGGCTTTGGGGCTCTTCAGCATTTGATATTTCAGCCTTGGAGGATTCATTTTTACGACTGAATTGGGCAATTAGCCCTTGTAATTTGCGATGAGTGGGCTGTTTGCTTTTTGAGGAGTCGCTTGCTTGTGCCACAGCTTGATTTGCATAAACTCCTCAATGAAGATGCGACACTTCAGCATAAATAACTGACATACAGAATAAATAGTCAGTCCGCCCGTGGAACATGAATCAGTGTATGTGGAGTGTGTAAAAGGCACTTTATGAAACTCTTGAAAAGTGGAAGAATACTGCATTTTTTTCCAAAGACAGACCACAGCTGTTGTTACCGATGATTCCTCACAATCCTCAATCCTCACTCACCTGGCGCTGACATCCCACCTCTCCAGGGTGAGCTTTGAACAAAAAGTGTTGCAGCAGGGTTCTGGTAAAGTGCTGCACTTCAAAGACGACACATTCTTCATGACATTCCCCAATGCTGCACTTTGAGTGAAATACCTGCAACTTTGCACTTCCAACCTGCAAAGGTTGGAAGTGTCCGTAAGGCTGTAGCTGCCTCTGTTTGAGGAAGGGGGGGGGGGGGGGGGGGTAAAATATTCTTTCGTTTGGGAGGTAAAGGAGACTGGAGGGTCGAAGAAAGCAGCTGCCTCATGGATGTCGGAGAACATAAAAAAGATAGTTTATCCGGGGCAGGGCCTGCTGGGGGAATCCACTACGGATGGAGATGTGTAGTGGTTGCTGGGCTGCAGATGGTCCGTCTGCACTGCTTTGTCTTTACCTGTGGGTCACCTGGTTGTTGAGGAGGCCTGGCAACGTCTGTTCTGTTTCAGTGCTTAATGAGCCACCTAGCAGAGACAGAGAGAGTTACCACCTCCACTCTTAGTCCTTGTTTCACATCGGATACGAACAGTTTTAATCACCTCCAGTGATACATGTGGAGGATGTCTGCACTGCTAATTGCTTGGACTAGTCTTCAATTAGCTTAATGAGTGTATGTGATATAAATCAGAAAATCAAGTGAATTTTATACTATCTCGCATATATATATATATATATATATATATATATATATATATATATATAATACTAGAGCGTAAGTTTAATGGTGACACTCAAGGTCTACTTTATCCAGAGCTTTCAGCTGCATTTCACAGTCTTCACTCACACTAATTCAGGGTTTACTATCTCCTTTCCACCACCTCGTTTCTCTCACATGACCAAACTTTCATACAGGTCATGTGATGACAGCTGAACTGACTCCATGATAACTGAGCAAACTCCCATCTGCTGATGAAGACCATGATATGGGTTTGAGAAGCTTCAGAAAAAGCAAGTGTGTGGACCTTGAGTAAAATGTCTTTTGTCAAATTATATAATTTTAAATAACTTAGTAAAATCAATAGTGATCAGTAACACATGACGTGTGATGAAGTGATTAAATTGGACAGAATAATATTTATTCCTACTGAAAGGAATCATAGCCAAAGCCATGGCATGTATTTTGTGTTTTTAAAACTCAAATGTTATACATTTTATGAATGTAAATTAATTCCACATGACTGTAATGCACCAAAATTGCATTTAGTAACATCAAAATCAATGTAGCTACTACATGTGCTTATCACTGACATGTATGTTACATTCATGATTTAACAGTAGAATATGCATAACAGGTGCACTGTGCAATATCTGGCCACATGCTCAAAACAAATAGGGGGCAGCATTTCACCTCTACTACTGACTCCATATAATCTAAATTTAGGGGAGGACGAACACACAAAATACGAGACATTTTGTTGTTTCTGCCACTTTCGATTTAATCCAATAACCAAACTATTGAAACGTACACACACGCTGTACTTTCCACGTGATTGACCAGCTCTCGGAGCATCTCTATTTCTAAGTCCTCTCAGGTTGGACTGAGGACAGTGACTCATCACCTCTTGGGGCACAAGTGGTGTAACAAGACGGGACGGGCCTGGGCTAGCTGGTTATCATGGTCAGTTCATTAATATCTCTGCAACACAAAACATAGATGTCTTTGACACACTGTAACCTCTTCACGTCCTGTTGATAATGTTTTGAATGTTTTAAATTTTAATTCTGGCCAGATCTTATACATTGCACCTTTAAATTCTTTGATCATCAACATTTCATAGATCCATGAAATACATCTACTATCCATAGTAGATGTTACGGATATTTATCAAAATAACTGAGAGGTCTTACCATTATGGCAGCTGTACATCCACACACGATGGCCATCATATCGACATCTGCATTTCATGATGTTGTTGGTGTAGTCTGACTCTGGTACCTCATAGTTTGGATTAATTACTATCTGTGAGAGGAAGAACATGTATGGGATTCCTGTGAGAGGCCAGTGCTGTAAATAATTTAACTCTGGATTTGGATAAAAAGATCAATGGTACATGGGAAACATTACCTGGAAAATGTAATCTCCAGGTTTGAGTTCAGTTATGTCGATCCACTGGCAGTCGATGTCGTGCCTGTAGGTATCCCAGCAGCCCACAGTGATACCCTGCTCTCCAAAGTTAGCACACTCATACCTCTTTTCAATACCTGTAACAAGACATTACAAAATGAAGAAAATATTGGCAAATAAACCCTCTGAGAATCATTTAAAAATGCCAAAGCAGCATGGATTTATTTTTTCTGGCCACTTGTGGGCAGTAAAACAAGCAGTAAACACAGTATTGACTTATCATATTATGAAGTTGTTATAATGAAAGGGTTAGCGTACAGTTGCCCATTTAGACACCCTGCAGACACAACTCCAACATTAGCATTTATCTGTAATCGTGTTTCTGACCAACTGATGAGTTTAAGTTCAATAGTCTCTCCTTTTAGCTCTGATTTGGTCTCCACCAGCTTCTGAGAGAAATATTCATCTTTTTAGCTGTTAAATGCTCCCCTATGCTGACCCGCTAGACGTAGGTAAACAAAGCAGTGCATTTAGGAGCTGTCTGTCTGCTGTTTGGTGCTGGGTTTATCTGAACTGTTTTGCTGAAAAACGAGGTTGAGGAGAGCAGTGGACCAAAGAGTGAACCAAAACAGTAAAGCTGCTCGCTGTAAAAACCAAAACCATGAACGCGAGATGCTAAAAAGCTCTCTAGATATGAGGGCAACTACAGACCAGGGTGATCGTTTTCTACAAGTGATCCCTTTCACATTACACTTAGTCATTTAATTGATTCTTAAAATTAACAGAATTATTGCCAATTGGTGCCAAATTTGAAGAACTTCCCGTCACTTTACATCACAAGAATGGGTCAGATGTTAGATCATAGCGACCTTGACCTTTGACCACTCAAATCTGATCAGTTTATCCTTGAGTCGAAGTGGACGTTTGTGCCGAATTTGAAGAAAGTTCCCTCCAGGTGTTCCTGAGATATCGCGTTCACGATAATCGGACGGACGATCCGAAAAACATGATGGTCGAGCCACGACTGTCGTCCTCGCATGCATAAATACATAGGTGCAGCTTTGGCGGCTGTGGATCAATGTTAGACCAAGTTGTCCTCCAATCAGAAGATCGGCGGTTCGATACCTGGCTTCTCCAGTGTGTGTCGACGTGTCCTTGGGCAAGACAGGCTGTGCCATCAGTGTGTGAATGGTTAACTAGTGTTGATGGAAGGTGGCACCTTCCATCAGAGCTGAATGAATGTACCATAAATGTACCATTTACTTTAATTAAAAGCCCATTATTGACCGTGAAAAGGGGATTTGTCAGCCACATTTCTGAAAAATTAAAGCATATTCACATCTTGAAATAAAAATATCAAAATAGGGATGTCTCTTTTGGTCCTCACCTTCATCACACTCTGAGTCCTCCAGGCAAAAACTTGCTTTGTGTCCTTCTGCCACTTTGGTTCCATTGAGGGTGAACAGGTCATAGAGTGTAAACACCTCCATGCTGTGATAATGCCTACACACACAGACAGAAATATAGTTTTACAGACCCAGTAAGGCTCAAAATGCTACAAGTACAAGAATGGTACTTCTTGTTGTCAACAGAGGTCAAACTATCATTACCGCCTTATGGTTGTATGCCTTCACCAAACAGTCAAGTTGCAGTTTACATCCATGTCGATCCAAAATGTTATCACTTCATAATTTTATTCTATTAGACATTTGTGTGAAATTGTCACAATTAGCATATCAAGTGAGTTGTGACCAATGTGTTATGTGAGGTCACAGCGACCTTGACCTTTGACCACCAAATTCTAATCAGTCCATCCTTCAGACCAGGTGGACGTTTGTACCAAAAAAAAAGCGTTCCTGAGATATCGTGTTCACGAGAATGTACCCGACGGTCTGACAACCTGAAATCTGTCGCCAGCACGGAGCCAAAAAAAGAAAATTACAACTTGCCATCTGCAATCCATTTCTTTTAAATGGTCTGATACGCTACGTCAAGTTCTACCACACAAAGGTGCCAAAGGTTTGACATGTGGAAAGCTGGTAGCTGTGTGAAGCTGCCAACAGTTCCTCCAGCCAACAGTCACCACAAAATGTGGGACTTTTTGTACAGAAGCTATAGCTTACAGCACTCGTCCAATTACAGGGCAGCAGAACGTATGGAAGGGAAAAAAACTGCTCGAGAAACTAGATCGGGGCCGAGTCATTTCTCTCTCTCTGAATGAAGTCTAATTTGAGACGTCATTTCTGAATCATTCAAATGTCCTCCTCTGCTATGTGGTTTACAAATAACTTTATGCTTGTGTTTTATAATTAAGATGCAATTTATATGCTCCTGGAATAGAGACTGGTTACAGTTGCTTCCACTAATTATATTGTATGATAAATGTCACATGCATTTCAGTGGGATCATTGTTCTGTAAGGAAGTAAGGATTCCACTAGTGCACTATAGGATTTTATCAAGTCACTCCAAGTATGATATAAACATTTAGTTAATATTCCACCAAATCACCAGATTTTCTTCTTGTGAGGGGAGAAAAAGATTCTGAAACAGAATTTCTTTGAGCTGGACTGCAGCTTATTGAAGAAAAGAATCTGGGAAATACACCTATTTGCTTTCTTTCTGCGAGTTGGATAAAAATATCACTATCCATCTTAAGGCTGTGTGTTAAGTACAGAGATGGAGCCAGGAGGTGATTAGCCTAGCTTAGCATAAAGACTGCAAGCTAGGGGAAATTGCTAGCCTGGCTACTTAAAAGGTTAAAGTTAAGAAATACTTCTACCGACACCTCTATAGTTCAACGATTAACATTTAGTTTCTTGTTTGTTTGATCCGTAAACTAACAGAACATTTAAAAATAACATTGGTGCTTTAGTTACATGCTGCAAATATTCCTGTTGAACAACACCCGGCACTTCTGGGTCACTGGGCCCAGCTGTTGTTTGTCAAGAAAACGTTCCAGGATGTAACTCCCTCTAAAGCTGTCATTTATGCATTTCTGTTCATGTACTGATTAAACTAACAAGGTATAACGTGTTATACGCCGTATTTTGTAACTTTGGAGACAGCCAGGACCTTTATGCTAAGCTATGCTAATCGCCTACCGGATCCAGCTCTGTATAGATTCATCATCCCATTCTCGGGCAGAAAACAAAGACACCTATTTCCATTACCATATTTCCCAAAATGGTGAACTATTCCTGAAGCAAAGTGAAGACTATTCGGAGGTTTAACAGAATGAAACAGACAATTTCAACACCTTGCATTAGCGAACAAGTGGTTTGTCTCTGGTGTCCAGTAAATTAGTAAAAGCGTGCTACTGTGGAATCATCTTCTGATGAATTCAGGGAAGAAATCCAAGGACATAAAAGATAGTCCTTTGAAACTGACCTGTGACAGTCGTGCCACACCCAGGAATGTCTGCCAGCTTTGGGCCGGAAGTCAGAGTGGCCGTTGTTGTGGATCTGGGAGGAGAAGCGAAGCAGGCGGCGGTAGGTGTTGGCCGGCGCCTGGCTGGAGGTGGAGGAGAGACAGTTCTCCTCATACGCACACTGCAGCATGAACATGGGCCTGTCCTCCATGTAGGTGGTCTGCTCCACCACCTGAGGGTTCAACACCAGGTCAGGAGCCGCTGTGGACGGGCGGATGAAAGAGAAACCACAGAGAAGCAGACGGAGACAAAACATAAATAGACACATTGAGAAAAAGGCAAAAAGAAACGGAAAAGCTCCAGCACGTAATGTAAATGAGTTGTTTCTGTGTCAAACTGAAGAGCCCTCTGGAGATTCCTGAGGGATATTTGAGTTTCAGTTATGCAAACATTTCTCCCAGGTAGAGCTTCTCCAGAGGCAGAAATCATTTTATTTTCTGAATTAAAACTCAATGTGAAGAGCAAAAGAGTCAAAGCTGTTTAGTGTGAGCTGACAAATTGAATGGCAAAGGCTCTAGTTGAAATATACTTCAACGTGGAAATGTCTTTTATTATTTCTTTCTTTTCTGTACTCTTTCATTCATGACCCTACAAACTGCAGGATCATGAATAGTAAATGGACTTGTACTTGTATAGCGCTTTTCTATTCTTCCGACCACTCAAAGAGCTTCAACACTACTTGTCATCATTCACCCATTCATACACTGATGACAGGGTCTACCATGCAAGGTGCCACCTGCCCATCAGGATTCTAACTAACCATTCGCATCTATTCATACACTCCACTGAGCCACAGTTGCCCCTCGAGGGGCAGGAGACAAATATGACTGATTCCTGGCCACATTTTCTCACAGTTACCTCTCAAAAGCATTCACCACCAACCATTGTATTCATTTGGGATTCTTACTCTCAGAGCAGGAAACTCCGGCGCCGTTGCGTCCGCCTCCTTTAGCGCAGCTGAGGTGAGCCCCATGGTGCAGGCAGTGGGACAGAGACATCTCCGTACCAGAGCAGCGAACGCCACTCATTACCACAGAGTCGGCACTCACCTCTCCCGGCCAATACCAAGTCTCCTGTTGAGAGAACAGGACACATGGTTCACAGTTGACAGGGGGGGCATCTATATGTCATCCACTTCTGGTACAATACACTTTGATTGATCATGTACTTGTAGAACTGGTTCAAATGAAAGCCCTTCAGCTAAATTGTAATGCAACTTTCCATCCATCACTGATCCCAGCTCAGCAAAACCTTTTTCGTTTGTTAGAAGTCAACACTAATGGAGGTTTTAACTCAGTTTGCAAAAGCCTGCAGTGAAACCTTCTTTAAGCACCATGCGTATTTATTCGCTATTTCTCCAGCAGTGTTGGCAGAAATATTTCAATATAAGTAGTAATTCTTTCATCTAAAATTACACCATTATAAGTGAAAAGTCCTGCGTTTAAAATTTGACTCCAGCAAAAGAATAGAGGTATTATCGGCATAATTCATATCACAAATCACAAATTTGCCTCAGAGGGCTTTAAAACCTGTACAACATACGACTTCCTGTGTCCGTGGACCCTCAGTAACAAAGGTAAATGTCCTCATCACACTAAACCTTTGAGGGTCACTTTTGGAAGTTTATAGATTAAACTTTTGAGTTTAATCTATAGCAACACATCATTGGGGGGGTTAAGGGCTCCGCCATTTTAAAGGAGCCAGACACAGACTTTAAATAACATTTATTCAACCATTATTTTGACAGGGGGCCAAACTGAGACCAAGGTTACTATTTACTTTTGAAGAAGACATAGATATGTATTTAAATTTACAATATTAACTGTTACGTTCCTAAAATAATAATAATCAGTTTGTTTGTTTCTCCCTGATTACATTAATGACATAATTAATAATGTTTTAAGAAGAAATAACATTTTGCTTTATTCTTGGAGTCCAAGGGCTGCCAGACAGTTGTCTCTCTATGTTCAATACGTGGATGAGTGTTCAGTAAACTACTTGAGTAAATGTACACAGTTAATTTAGTAGTACATCACAAATCTCCAATGTCACCAGTTTGGCTCTTACTGAAGAGTAAACGATGGTCCATATTCTGCTTTAAACAAAACGAATGGAAGAAAGAAAACGTCGCGGACATGTTAATAATAACGGATTTCAAGAAACTGTTTCATTTCTGGGTCGTGACCGAAAGGCCAAGGTCGCGGCTACAAGCGGCCGAAATGAGTTTCCTCCGTAGGGTGGCCGGGCTCAGCCTTAGAGATAGGGTAAGGAGCTCGGTCATCAGGAGGGAGCCGCTACTCCTTCGCGTCGAAAGGAGTCAGCTGAGGTGGTTCGGGCATCTAATTAGGATGCCTCCTGGACGCCTCCCACTGGAGGTTTTCCAGGCACGTCCAACTGGGAAGAGACCCCGGGGAAGACCCAGAACACGCTGGAGGGATTACATCTCCCAGCTGGCCTGGGAACACCTCGGGATCCCCCAGAATGAGCTGGAACATGTTGCCGGTGAGAGGGAGGTCTGGGTCGGCCTGCTTAGCCTGCTGCCACCGCGACCCGACCCCGGATAAGCGGAGGAAAATGGATGGATGGATGGATGTTTCATTTCAGAAATATGAGAACAACTGAAACACATATGGCTTGACACTGTCAAGCAGTACCAGTGTATTTCCACCACTACTTTACAAAGAAGATGAGTTTTGAAATACCATAGATGCCAAAACTAACCGCAGAGCTGTCTGATACCAAGACACGCTCACTGTAGTCCCACTGAACATTCAGTGTAATGATGCCAGGGAACTATTCGGTCCTCGTTTTGAGGAAACCAATAGACATGTTCACAGTAATACCATGAATCATTGTGAAGAAAAGACAATATTCTACATTGACCACTAGAGGGCACACCCTATCCTTTTATATCCTCACTGCATTGATATATACAGTATATATATAATGGTACTCTTTTGTTGTTTGTTTTTTTACAACGTGATGAATATAATCATTTGTGCTGCCAGAGAAAGAAATGAGCCGTAACCACCATAACAAAGTAAATGCACCCCAATTACAAGAGACAGTCCTTCTCACTTCTGCCTCAAAGGTAAACCTGACATCCTATAATCATACAGAAACCATTATTTTACAATTTCCCCTCCTAAAACTCTGCAAACACTTTCAAAGTAAGACTGACAAACGATTTTAGTGTACTTTTACAAAGCACAGAAACATTTTCACAACAGAACAAAGGTCAGCCACCATAAAAATGACCATCATTAAGGTAATTTCCATTTCGTTTTCAACAGAAATGAGCTTCAAATCAGGACACAATTCAATTGCAAAAGGGCTTGAACTGATATGTAGCTATATAAATCATGTGCAATCATTGGCTTAAGTTCACAACAGTCATTGGAAAGTAAATCAATAATTGATTAGCTTTCAAAAAAGACGTGTTTTAACAAAATCAACAGCTGCTCATACACTTAATATAACTAACTAAACTCAATTAACTGTCTCTATTTTCACTATTGTTAAAAGTTATTTCAGTGATTTGTGAGAAAGTGTGTACACAGCAATACATTGATCATGACGTTGGAGATCTAGATGTAGCAAAAGAAAGTACTAATTTGACATAATAATCAGGGTTAAACTGGAAGATCCTGTGTTCAGATTTGTGCTCTTGGTTTGATCGACTGGAAGATCATCCAACACAATATACACCATTTGTTAGTTTTATTCTTTTCAGATATTTACTTTAAGGTTGTGACATTTAAACTGAAGGGGGGAAAAATACTGTTTCTTTCAGAACAAACGCAAACAGACCGATTCTGACCCCATGGCTGCTGCGTACCTGGAAAGCGCTGCTGGCGAAGCCCAGGCCCAGCTGCCTGCAGACCACCATGGCCTCCATGGTTCCCCAGCTGTCACTGCACACCGTCCCCCACACCAGAGAACCGTTCCTCTCCACCAGCACCTCCACGCGGCCCTCATAGGGGTTACGGCCTCCGCTCAGACGCAGCTACATGGGCACAAAAAAACACAACCGAGGGGCCGACTTAGAGGCTGAACCCACACTGTTGTGTGAATAAGTGATGTTTGACTGTCGAGGAAACATTTAATGCAACCAATGATTCTACGGTTTTGGAAAGGTAATATATGCATAATCGGTATAACAAATACTACTACTACTTATGACTTGGAGCACTACGGATGAAGAAAATTACCTAAAACTAGAATTACCGCCTCTCCAGCCTCTCCAGGTAAGCCTCCGCCAACCAATCAAGTGTCCATGTCAGTCCAAAATGTCATCGCTTCATCATTTTATCCTTTTAGACATTCATGTGATAATTAGCATATGAATTCTCGAGTTTTGACCTTTGACAACCGAATTCTAATCCGTTCATCCTTGAGTCCAATTGGACGGTTGCATCAGATGTAATGAAGTTCCCTTCAGGCATTCCTGAGGTATCGAGTTAACGACAATGGGACGGACAGACAACCGGAAAACATGACGGCACACCGGCATGACAAATGCAGATATGCAGTGAGAAACTGTGAAACAGTTGAAGCTCAACAGTCCATTGATGATTGTGATATGTAAAAATATGATGTGCAAAATAAACTCACATATGTTAACATCTGCAAGTCATCTATATTCATAAAAGACTTGGAAAGACTAATCCAGCCTCCCGTTAACTTATAATTGGTTCAAACTAAACAATCGCGTTTCTATGTTGCTGTAGTATCTCTTGAGGCTCACCGACTGTTGGAAGCCCATAGCAGGAACATTACATCTGATGGCTGCATCCTCCTCATGGCTGCAACCGAGAGCCTCCTTGTTGAAGAAACACTCTGTGATGGACTTCTCAAATCCAGAGCACTCCACCTCGTTCATATGGACCGGGCCCATACCTGGAACACACAGACAGGAGGAACCGTTTTGAAACCGTTTCCCACTGAAACTGGGAGAGAACAACAAACATTTTTAAATAAGCCTGCTAATATTCCGTGTACAAACATGAGAGTGATGTTGCTCTCATCAAGCGTATTTCCCCAAATTCCTTTAAAAAGGTAAACTAATCAGGATGACAAAAATAGTTATGAAGTTTATAGCCAATATTGGCAATTAAGGGAAGGGTAAAGTAAAATAGCAATAACAGTAGAATGTAAATGAAGAGAGAAGCTGATACATACTGTACATTAGAACAAGAAGTCAGTTACTAAGAGAGCCCCACAAGTACTACAGCAGCAGATGAGTACACATTCAAAACAGCTCCGATAAATGCTTCATATCTACTGTGTGCTAATAAGATATTTCATGTTATTATTTCCATTTGAGTTTTGTTTTTCTCCATGGAAGGAGAGCCACTGATGAGAAATCATGATGGAAAATGGTTTTGGGAAAAGGAACTCTCTGTTTCAACATTTTCCATGTCTAATGTTACTGGAATGTACTGCGTGTCCTGCATTTTTGAAAAAGGAAACACCTACATGTTTTTTTTCATAGTATATCCTGGAGCTAAAGCTAAGGCTTTAAAACACTGTATAGCACAGGGTGGATATCTGCTGAGTGTGTAATTTAGAAGTGTGTCAGTGGCACATTGTTATTGGGTGGGTGGGGGGCTGGTCCCAACTTCCAAACCTGCTGTAAAACTCTCCATGCAGCCGATGTTAGCACCCTGCAGGTGCCGTCTGGAAAGAGACCATAAAGTGAGACTGCTCGAGTGAAGGCCTCCATTAGGAGGGAGGAAACACTAGGAGGGAGGGAACACGAGTGGTATACTTAATCACTGCTGAAACGTACAAGACCCAAAATGTGAGAAAACAGACTTATCCTAGTTTCTTATCATATTATTCTTTTTTAATTTATCTACAAGCACAGATTTCATACTGAAGCAGGGTGGAAAAGGGAGGGATTTATATGTAGTCAGAGTATACGTCTCTGTTAGCTTACAATGTAGTGCTAAAGCTGCAAAAACATTATTTCATTATAAGATTTATTTGACTCCGAATCCGGCCCGCCACGTCATTTTATGTGGCCCGCGAATCCGCCAGCAAAATTTTTTTTTACAGTAAAAAAAAAAAGTATAGCAGTCATAGAAGCAGCTCTTTGGCTGGTTGCTGTACACTTGACATGGAAATGTATTGTGAGTACATTGAAGATACTTTAAACGTGGCTTTACAACACATGAAGTACTTCACATGGGATTGTGCAAACGCACCCTTGAAAGGATTTTAAGCTTTGAACAAAGTTATTGTAATAACTTGTGTTTGATATTTGTCTTTGCTATTTTCTTTAATAGTTTGATCTTTGATAGAGTAATGTGGGTTTCTTAACCCTAAATTAAAAGGATTTAAGTTACAATAACAGAAATGTGCTTAAATATATTTTTACATTTATATAACTGCATGTACAGTATTTTTACACTTCAATAAACAATAATCAAATGCAGAGACAGTTATTTACCAATATGTTAGGAGTGGTTACATTTACACAGTCTTACGTTTACAACCGGCCCTTTGAGGGAAACCATGACGCTGATGTGGCCCAGAGTGAAAATGAGTTAAAGTTCTGGTACAGACACTGTTCTCCATAGGGTCTGTTCAGAGTCCAGCTGAGCTATAGGCTCGCCTTATCACTTATTTTCCTCGCCGAGTTAATTCCAAGTTGAATACACGTGAATCTCAATAAATCCTTCCAGAAAGATATCCGAGTTCATAGCAGCTCAGAGACGGATTCTCGTCCTCACAGACCTGCTCAATGTAACTAATCCTGTTCCAGCGAGCTCAATCACTTTCGCCATCAGGTCTGTGAGTTCATGATACTCTGCTCAGCAGCATGCAGGGGTGATAGGAGGAGGATCGCTTAAAGGATAGGATAGAATTACTGCCTGAAATGTTTGGGATATGTGGGGTTTGCCACACAGTCATAACCTTCCATTCCGTTCCATGAAGGAAATATACGTGCACAGTTGTTCCAACAATAAAGACAGTCATTCTGAGCTCATTGGCATGGGACGGTTTAGGGCGACTGTGTACTTATTCCAGGCTGTTGCTGCTCACAATCTACTTTTTTATGCTTTTCCCTTTATGCAGCAGTCTAGCTTACATTAGGCATATTCTAATGCTGTAGTTTCAGTCAAAAAGCCCTTTTCCGTTTCTCCTTTCCTTATGTTTTGCCCGTAAATCTGAATGTGCAGCAAGGAGAGGCTGGAAAACGAGTCTTTACATGAACTTTTTCAGCACAAATAACAGTAAGAATGTAAAACCGGTATACCTTGTCCCAGGCGACCTCCGGACAGAGACTCTATGGCCGTACCGAAGCCCAGCTCTCGACACACCACAGTGGCAGACTGCAAGTTCCAGTTATCATCACATATGGTGCCCCACTCTCCATTTTTCAACACCTCCACTCGACCCTCGCCTACGATGGCCCCACCACGAAGACGAACCAGCGGTTGCTGAAGAGGAAAAACACAGAACATCACTGTAAAAGCTGAAATGTTCAAATTGTAAAACCACATATATATTTTTTTTATTCTGGTTCTTTCAGAGATCAGCCTCAAGTGGAAGTTTGGAACCTCAACTTGCTGAGGCAGCAGACTGGGTGGCTTCATGTTTATAGAACGTGCTATAAATGCGGTTCTCCCAATAACTGTTTAGACAAACTGGAAGTGTTTAGTTTTACAAGTAAACACATTAGTCCCAGTTTAATCTGACACAAAGTAAAGTCTTAATGTGTGCGCTCTGTAATAAAATCCTCCACCTACTGGCATTAACAATCAAATGAATGTAAAGAATTCATCATCCTTAAATGTGCTACATTAATCCAAAAAATATCAATTGTCATGTTTTGACCAAAAATGTCCAAATATGTCTGATTCCAACTTTTCAAATTTGATGTTAGTCTGGCTTTCATAAAACAATCATTATTATTGAATGTAACATATTTTTGTGGAAAACAAGGAAGACAAATCACCGTTGTAATGAGCATCTTTTACTACTTTATTACTTCTATTAACAATAGTTTCACATATTTTGCATTTCCTTGGCAACCAGCTCAAGTCCTGAAGTTATTAAGTCCATTTTGAACAAATCGTCCATCCTCGCATCTCCTCTCGTCCTGACTGGTGCCATATTCCTGATTAAATCAAAGTCTTAACCCTGTTGCTGGCTTTGCTAAATCTCTGGCTTTCTGTTAAGGATTCTTGTTTAGGATTGAAATCAAAATCCTTCTAATTAAGTCTTCCACCTATCCCAGTCGGGATGGGAACCAGTTCCACATGATCCATCGGAATTGTTTTCTACACAGAAAATTGATCGCAGAGTCGATAATGGCATAGGTATCAATAAAACCATATCAATTCCCAACCCAATACATAAAGTGAGATGCTGAGCACCAAGAGGCCCAATAGGTGTACCAGGACCTCAGGTCTTCTGGTTGTGCACTGGTCAAAGTTTGTGGTAGCTGAGCTTTTAATGTGTTCGCATCCATTTTACAAATGCAATTCATATTGCAAATTACATTTTTCTCAAAAGCCTTTTTATGCTTCCTTGCCGCAATTAAAAGAATTATGGACAGCTCAACAGATTCTGAAAATAATCTTTAGTTGTCCCACAAATAAATGTTCATAAACTTAATGAACACGAAAGGAAAATACATAAAAAACATTATATATGAAGACTCAGCAAAGTAAATGTAATGCAAGAATTAAGAAGAACTAAGAAACAGGAGATGAGGGAATGATTAAAAGACAAATAGATATGATACAATGTGACTTATATACCCTGGTCCACATCTCATGCCTACTAACACATTCCAGCTACAAAATCATCTGAACCTTCAATCATTTCACATATTAGAATACAGTTTTTATTTCATTCCTGGAGTGATGTTTGATTTATGTTTCTGTTTATGACTTCAAACACATATCGACTAAAATAGTTCTATTTGTTAAAATATATCTTTTTTATATGATTCCTGAAGCAATATTTCACAAAAGAATCGATGTCATCATTGAGGCCGGGGTATTTCCTTGCTTTCAGTTGTATAATTGCCGCACGTTGGAGAAGTCCTTTTAGGTAAATATCTGGTTTTAGAATAAAATTCCGTTTCGTCAGACCTGTTGACTGTGTTGGAAGATTTCTAATGTGACGTCAGGCACGCCGCTCCCAGCCCGGCACTCAGCTGTGGAACGTGACAGAGAGCAGGCAAGCTCAAACCTCACATTGGAATGTGGATGGAGTCACACACACAGAAATCTTGTCAGCTTAGAAGGTTCTTATTTGAAAGTTGCTGCGATTGTTTACAGACTAAGTGAGTTTTACATCCACTGAAACCTTAAGAAAAAAGAATGCCTATTTTTTATCTGCAAAGGGCATGAGTAAGAAAGAAATCCCTCTTTTACCCACTGGGGAGGTCAAAGGTCAGAATCAGGAAGACAACAGCACCTGTGGAACCAGTAGGATGTCAAGTGAAGACTTACTAACGGTATGTGCCAATGAAAAGTTTCTTTAACACAAAATCAAAACCTATACAGCTTTGGGTTTGTGTTTGATGTCATGATGGCACAGACATCAGTCCACTCAAGTGTGATGGGGTTCCAAACTTTCTGGGGCTATTGTCATGTTGCAGCAGCTAAAAAGAACTATCAAAAGTGCTGCCAAAAAGTCGGAAGCACAATATTTGTTTCAAATATCAAGCTTCCTCTTATCTTGTAATGAGGTTTTCTTGTCCGCAACATCACCAACCTCCCGAGACCAAACTGTTACCTAATGCACACCTGATGAACAGCTGCAAATTAAATTATGAGGAAGAAAGGCTGAAAATATTATCATAAGATGATGTCTGACAAAGGCATCCGACTGAAAAGCCGTGCCTCTAATAAACTCAGTGCACAAACGTGTGTGGTTGTCCACACACTCCTGGCCACATAGTGTATTAATTTAAATGTAAAAATAGCAGACACTGGCAACTGGCACAGCACCTATACAAATAACTGAATTCATGAACCCAATCTGAGCTATAAACTATGTTTTGGAGGGCTTGTTTGCACCATATCTTGATTTTCCAGATTTTTTTTTTTTGGTGAGGAAATCAAAAAGCAGCAGCTTTTTAAGTGTAAATGTGTAAAAACTGCAGTACTGATGCAGCTTTTCTGACTCCGGACCCTAGTTTCATGCTCATTAACATTTGAGAAGAGTAAAAGTTAGCTCACACTGAGCTGTTTTTCCTTGCCCTGTGCCAAGAATTTCACTACATCGTGTCATCTTTGAAACCCCAAGATGACGATAATTAATTTTGATGGGAACGAATTGTCCACATCAGCTCCAGATGCAGCACACGAAGTGACCGGGAATAGCAAAGGCCAGCGTTGGCCTTTACATAGTCAGTGAATTGAGCTGAACCAGTGCAGCTATTTCTAAAAACAGCTTTGTTTACCACTTCAGTTTGTTGACACTGTCCATAGACATCTCACATTTCATTTGCCACTGACAGAAGACAGTAAGAACTTACTGTGACAGTGGCTCATTATACATGGATAAATATCTTTTCATAAATGAGTGTACTGAAAGTTCAAATATTTTTTATGTCTGAGCAAGAACTGGAAAAGCAAGTAGATCTTTAAGACTGTGGACTTGCTTGTGTAAAACAACAACATCTCAATAGCGTGGTATTTTAGATGAACGTAAGAATGGACCTTACCTCTTGTCTGAAGGCCTTCCTGAATCCCGTCATGGGCGTCGGGGCAAAGTCTTTGCCGGGCACGCAGCTCACCACCACAGGCAACCCTTCAGGACAGGTCTCATTGGACTTCATTGATGTAACCTGGCCCAGTTTACAGCTGGACAAATGGGCTTCATTGCCAGTGCAGTTCACAGCGTAGTCCCAGTACATGGGCTTTCTCCGGCGAGCAAACATCCTGGACAGACGGAGAAGGAAAGGAGGTTAAACAAATCTTTCAGCGGTTTTTATTTTCAACTGGGTATACGTATCAAACACATAAACAGGTATTTTTATTTTAATGAAACAACTACCATTAGAAACAGCTAGCAATTAAAGCTGCACTCATCAATATTTTTCATATGACAATGGGCGAATGACCATAATGTAATGTGTGAGATGTTGCTAGTAGTAATAAATCCACGGAAAAATGATCACTAGACTCTGAGTCTTTAACTATCTATAAGTTCAACTCATCCTCGCTTTCAGCTGCAGCAGGCAGCTCCTTTGGCAAAAAAGCTGATTCACAAGATAGCTGCTAGCTTGTGAACAAAGGACAGCGTTGCTTAAGAGCCAGATATTACCCTCAGGCGTTGGTGGAGACCAAAAACTGAGCGAAAAGAGAGTGAATATTGCACTTTTGTCTGCGAGATGTGTAAATAATCAACTGTTTTGCTAACACGTTAGCATAGTGATTCGTAAGGTACCTTGTCAATGAAGTGTGTGATGTTTACCTATTCATGCAGTTCTGCGACCAAGTGGCAAAATACACATGATGGTTTATGTCGGCACTCTTTTCTCAATTCACCTGCAGTTGAAATTCTAGATCTACTGTTCGGAACATTGAGTTAAATTATGAAACTCATCACAATGCTTTCTCTTGACGCCACAAAACTAGACAAGGGCAATGCTATTAGCACATTGTATAATTAACACCAAAAGTGAAAGGTTAGTTAACAGCTGGAGAGTTCACACTCTTCCATATGAACTTGAACAAACTGGGGTTAATGACACTCTTTCAGGCCTGGTGGGGTGCTAATCTCTTCCTCCCCACTTATTAGTGAGCCCAAATGATGTATTTAATGAGCATCATTGGCAGAGCGGCACGTCCTATCCTTGTATCTTATGTCTGAGGTGTGCATGAAAAAAAATTGATTAAAATAGGCCGAGCTGCATTTGTTTTTCATGTGGGAGCTGGCCACATGAAGCTACAGACTGTAAGCTATCCAAAACTAATGCTCTCAAATGCAATTCAACCACAGCTGTGATGCATATCAGTGCTGTTCAAATTGAGCGATGATTGAATAAACTTTTGGTCCTGAGGCTGTGAAAGTTGACTTCTCATCCAAAATCTCAACCCAAGCTTAAAATATTTTTCCACATTCATAGTCAAAGTTTTTCAATACTTTGATAAATGTAACTAACTGTATAGCTGCAGTTAATGGTAATGCACAACAATGTGGGCCTTTAAATGCAGAATAACTCCATTGATATTAAATATCAATATATTTGTAAAGTTTACTCAACCATGAAAACGGTTGTTTAATGACTTCTGTGGCTCTGAAAGAGCTCGAGTGACACCACCTGAGTCAGCTCGGCTTGGGGCTTGAGACTGAAAATCTATAACAGAAAGTCTCGGCATGGATTGTGAAAGATAGGAATATTTACCAGGCAGGGTAAAGTTTTTCAAATGACTCCATACCATTGCATATGGGAAGTGTAGCAGTGTTTTGGAGCTTTACCCATATTAAGTGCAAGGGTAAAACAGCGGTATCTAATTTTCAGTAATACGTTGTGCAAGGTATTACAACTTGAAATACAGCAATCGAATGAATATGAATTCCAGCAGTGATTCATTATGTTAACGTGTTGGAGGTTGTCTTACTGGGAATTTTATCGCACACTAAAAGGCTGGCCGATGCTTTGCAGACGCTGATACCTAGCAGGCTAAATATCTGGGTCTGTCGGGGGAGCTAAAACCAATGAGGAGCACAAGACACGGGTTGAAGGGGGAGGGGCTTGTAACTGGGTGCAATGGGTTGCATTTGCACCACAGTTGTTGTTGTTGCATCAAAAGGAAAATAGTTGAGTCGTAAAGACGTGTGGAAAAAGGCTATTTTGTGAACACGTGTGCCAGCGGTAATATCAACAAGCATGAAACTGATCATTTACAATTTAGAAAAATCTACAGCGCACACACATTACAAGGGCCCACATCTTGTTCACGTCTTTATTTAGACATTTGAATTTAAATCTGGCATTCTCAAAGTGACCCTGGATAAAACCACACGGGAGCATCGGCACAGGAACCGAATCAGGATGACGTTACTGCTGTTTCAAGCGACAGCCTGAAAAAGCAGATGTTTCACGGGGCTGAAGCGGGAGTAGGCTGACACGTAGATGGGAAAATAGGGAGCTGCTGTGCTCTGCTGTGGTTACCTAACGCGGAGGAAACTTCCAGCAGTAAATTCAAGGATAACTTGAGTGTTGGATGTGTTATGGTAAGCCGTGATTAACCTGTGGCCGCTTGGCTGCAAGCTTCCTTGTGTAAGCAAGATTTAGATCCCTCGGGAGTCGCTCACACATCGCTACAGCTTCGTGGAATGCACTAATGTTGAATATGCAAGAGTCAGGTTGAGTTTCAATGTGCTGTATTAAGGCTTGTGATGTAACATTTGATCCACACATTGGAACATGTAGAAATTGGAGTTACTTCAATGTGTTCTAACTCTTTAACAATGACTTCTGGTGGTAGTGTTCTTGAATGACAACAATTGGACAATGTTTCATCATTAGTTTTTACAAATTGATCACACCGTTGGACTGCTAGAAGGTATGGAGACTGATCCCTACAGGACAGGCTGTTAACTAAGGGTGGATTGCGAAATGTACAAAGCAGGTACCCACCCCAGGTTCCCCAGACATCCGACCCCAAATGCACCCAAATGTCCTAAATCAGCGATACTAAACTACGTCCAACGGGCAAAATCTGGTTAGCAATAGGGTGCAGAATGTCCAAATTGGTAATGAAAATATTTTTTGTTTTACTATTAATGTAAGTAAGGTGTCAGAGTGAATAAAAAAAGAATTAATATATATTTTATTAATATTATTAATGTATGTTTATTATCTGGCCCCTGGCTATTACTTTGCAATAGTGGCCCTCAAAAGTTGAGTATCCCTGCCCCTAAATCCTCCTCTGCTCCAGGGCCACACCTACAGTAGTGGAGTACTCACTTGTAAACTCTGGCGTTGTACTTCCTCTCCCCGGGGAAGCCAAACATGCCGCAGATGACTCTGCCGTTATGCTGCGTCCACTCTGTGTTACAGATCTGCTTCCATTTACCGCCATCCTTGACCTCCACGTAGCCTTCTGTCACAGGGATCCGCTTACGGTAGGACGACAGGATGGCTCGTATGCGCGCGTCCTCCACTTGAATATCAAGGTTCTGTGGACAAAAATAAAATGAGCAAGAAACTTGCTTTAATCACAGACATAAACATATAAAACCCTTTTTTTCTAACGACAAATTATTTCTGTTGTTCTTACTGACATGTTATTTGTCAAAGTATGTACAGTGTTTATGTGTAATCCAATAACAAACACGCTTTGGTCCATTTCTGTATAGTACATGTTCATTTATGTCAATTTAAGAGCCACGAAGTGTTATGTTTTCATTTTCTGGCTAGACAGACCTCTGTGATCTGATGTGATACAAACAGGCTATACATCTGTCTCGAAACAGCATTTCCTGACTCTGAACCCCAGGTCCACACTGCAATCACAGCTGCTCAGCCCTGTGAGCGCTGCTTGCAAATCTTCTCCAGATTGCTCAAACATTTTTACGGCGAATCACCTTATTGATGCTTAACACCCCACCAGCTGCCCTGCAACTGTGTTTGTCTTTAAAAGCCGAAAGTATTCCATTGCAACATGTGCAACACGTGGAAAGCGTCAGTCGGAAGAGAAAAAATGAACAAACTCAGCATTGTGAGTATACACATGCAGTAGGAGGCAGTTAAAGTGACTGCCTTTTCTTTCCAACGCACTACCTCTACACCATCACCAACAGACTTGAGTAGAAGAGGCAACGGACCGTCCCATACTACTACGCAAGAACACCAGTTGGTTTGTGTCGGTGTCCCTAAAGGTTTTACTTTCACTAGCCCAGTTGCCCAACATCCCCGTTGAGCAACGAGCAGCCCGAGTTTACACTAAACCCATGTAAACTGCCTACTTTGAGATCTGGTCAATATTTTTGTATTCACAATGGATTGGATATACAGTATATATTTAATGTGAGTGAGGGGTGGCTTGTAATGACGTATCCACAGTTTATTATCAACCCAACTATGCAGTTACCCTCAGTTCTATTGGCCGTTTCAGCATCTTTCAACTCAAGTGTTTTTTTTCGTTCACTCTTACTCCTGTTATGATTCCTATTTCCTGCAGCAAAACACAACAAGTGTTTGTAGAAAATTTCATGTTTCTGTGGGAGATTTTGAAGATATTGGAAGCTAAAAACGGCTTCCCGCCTCAGACCCTTTTTTGGTGGGTGAAAATGTCGACATTCTTCAAGACATTTTACAGAACTTAATTCCATGGCCTCATATAGCATACACATACGGTTTGAACACAATCGAAAATGTAAACAAAAAACTCTATCTGATTTGATATTGTACTACGCATCAGTCTCCTCGAGACACATGGATCATTTTTGTGTCTATGTTTTGATTAGGAACATTGATCAACTCAACAGTTTTCCATCTTTGTTTGTAACTTTGAAGAATGGTGTGTGTTTATCAGTGTAAGCGTAGAAGACAGTCCTCTGAGCATCGAAGCAAGACTCGCTCAGTGGCCTGTTAGCTCGCAGGCAGTGTGAGGCCGCCAAAAATCAGCTCAGAGCCTTTCCTCTCAGACTATTTGCAGGGATTAGATAAACATTTTCCCCTCCAACAGACCAAACCCACATTCTTGTGCTACGTGACAGTGCAGGCAGAGGGGAGGGAGCTTAGTTTGGCAGCAGGGGGGCCAGTTAATACTCCTCTCATATACAGCCAAGAAGAACCTAGACATCAAATAATGACAAAGTAGGGTTTCCTAAATTGGCATTTGCCTCCGGGGAAGGGCAGAGGCCACCAGAGCGAAAGGTACAAACCATTAGTCTTGCTACCCTCTACTTTTTTCTCCCAAAGATAACCACATTAATCATTCTGGTCAGAGGCAACGAGGTCTGGACTGCAGAGGGTATGAAACTGGATAGAGGCTGAAATCATGGAACATGATAATGACTGGAAATGTGGCGATGGTGACCTTGTCTAAGTTTACTGGATGTACAGTACACGACTCAGTGGCAGACGAACGTTTTGAGTTGGGTCAGTAAGGAAATCCAGACTGACTGAAGATCCAACCAAACAGGACAATGGGGTACTGACGCAGATTGCTGTGGGCATGCTGGTCCTTAAACATCAAGATTGAATGTCTGTAAACAGAGAAACAAAATACCCTCTCCCTCAAACGGATTGACCCTAAATCTTGGTGAGATAAACAAAATCCATGCCAAACCCTTGTCTGTGCATGTAACAGAACTTATATAAGAGTCTGAAAAACAGCTTTTCTAATTTATTTCGAGATCCAACTTGTCCCTTTCCCTCCCCTGACTTTTCAGAGATGAGATATTCATCACATGGACAAAAACGGCCCTTTGACTGCAGAAAAAAAAAGAGATTTCTAACATGTGTGCCTTGTTTCGGCACACTCCGGGATAGGGGGCCCTTCCTGAGTCTTTGCTTGTCCAGGAGGAAAAGTGGCAGAGATGGAAAAGCCATTAGTGGGATGAGTTGGACCGGAGTGGTTAAGGGGCCTCAATCTCAAACTCAGTTTCCTTTTTACAGAGGCTACTTTGAGGTTGTGATACATATTTTTCTATTACCAATGCTTTAAGCCTAAATTCCTCGATTTGGAAGACTAATTACACCACTACACTCATGGTCATGTAATTAGAGGCGACAGGTCAGTTGGGGCCAAGTGGGGCAAAGCCCGACCTGCTGCAGGGAAGCAGAAAAGGTGTGGTTTCAGTAGCACTTGGAAATTAATACAATTCTGGATTAATGCAAGACATAAAAAGATCTTTGGTTGCTGCTGTTATTATTTATATTTGTATTTGATACCAAGTGGGCTGACGCCTGTTGCCCCGCAGCAATTTTATTGGCTATTTGCTAAGTCCTTGAGCTGTCGTCATTGGCTTGTAGTTAGCTGAAGTTAGTATTTCTTTAACAGAAAATAGTTACTGCACCGTGGTCTCCATTGACAATGTGGATTATCTTCTACAGCACATTGTTTCTTTGACTATTCATGTTTCCTCTCAGTTGGAATTATAAAAGGGTTTGTTTTACACCTTAAAAGAAACCCTTTTCCATTATACTCATACTGTTGTTAGAGGTCTCTGACAAAGGGGGCTGAAAAGTCTCTGAAAAAGGGGGATGGCCAAAGGCCCAATAACAATAATAATAAGTCCCAGTCATTTGTTTCTCACTCCCAACAAGTCACTTGGGATAAAAACCACGACATAATTCACAAAAACAATATTCAAATACCCTGCATAGTTATGGACTATTGTTTCAGTTACTTTATATTGCCCACAGTCATCTGTGACTACTAGAAGAAGAGTAAACCCAGTATGCCATAGTTTTTAGTGAGATAGTACGCGTTTCCTCTACAGTCCACAGCGGAGTCAAGACTGCGTTTGCCAGAACAAATAAAGTGCATGGAACATATGGTTCCAATAGAGGACCTGAACAAGTCTCTCTGCCAGCAGAAATCACCTCACATCCACAGCAAAATACCACGACGCTGGGTTCACATGCAGTGTGATATTTAGTTGCACGTCTCTTTCTGAGAGTTCCAATGAGCCGCAGCCTTTTTCAGGCACGTCTGCTGTCCCTATCTGGACTTCAAGAAGGGAAAACAGACCAGCTGCAATGCAAATTGAGGATAACATGTTTTCAGAGATAGTGTTTAGAGAATGCAGGATGTCCGTAGTGTGCAGTTCCTCCTTTAAAATCCATTAAAAGAGCTTTTGTCAACAAACTGAAAGCAGATGTTTCACAAAGTCATTAAAAACCCCGAACTGGAGCGTAAATTACAAGGACAATGATTGAATGGAAATAAACTACTTTCATCTGGCATTGAAGCTGAAGTGACAAAAAAACTTGTGGAAATCAAAGACACACTTGGGAGTGGATTCAGGGATCTGGCTGGCGGTACTGCTAGTCTCATTTTGTATTTCAAAGTAAACATTCTTTGCACTTTTGTCTGTTGACAAAGTAAATCATTATTAGAGCCGACAAAGATGACAGGGTGACAAACCTATTAAATACACAACAGCAGTTTAGACTCATTGGTCATTTGCTCCTCTGTACTGTATGTAAAGTTATAGCAGGTGAGATATGCGGAAGGTTTTCAGTTGGTCCATACAGAGCAGAAACACAAAACCCTTGTGCACACACAGTTGGCACTGATGTATAAGAACAACATGACATTCACACTGTTAGTTTTAGCTTGTTAGCATGCTAACACTTGCTAATTAGAAGTTTTGCAGGTACTTTGTTGTAAACCAGGGTATTGGACAAATCTAAGTCTTACGCAAAACAATTACGCAAAATGAAAAGTGGAAAAATTAAAACAGGGGCACATACACGTCTTTTCCAAATGTCATGGCAATCCATCCAACGGTCGACGAAACATTACAGTCAAACTTACAAATGTCAATTTCATGCTGACAAAAGAGGAAAAGTCAAGTCTTTAGGGAACATGACTGTCTGTACAAAAAAATCTATGCAATGAATTCAAAAGTGAATGAAATATTTCAGTATGGACCAACTGACATTACCACTACTAGAGCCTCACTAGCAGCTAAAAAAACCTCTCTCAATGTCCACTTACTAACTTTTTGCACATAGCGTATAACCATACAACACAACCTTCTTCGGATGGAGTTTGCTAAGTTCTCTAGTTGGTCTGGTCTTTATAATGACCATGTGATGTTTGAAAGCTCCACAAAAAGCTTGTGAGTTGTCCTTGAGTTGGGATTGTTTTGTCAAAATCCTATTTCTAAGGTCAAGAATAAACTTTCATGCTTAGTTTTAAAATTGAGTTGAACCGTAAACACTGGCCAGATAACAAGTGTTATTTTCTGTCAGCACATGTGACACATGTTACACATTGTGACAGAGAGAAGAAAGGAACAGCTGTGGAGAAGAGCCAAAGAAAGAACTAGCAGACGACATAGCTTCAACAACACAGCCGATTAAATTAGACGAATCCCTTCTGCACATGGCTAGAAAAACATTAACAGACAGAATAATTAAAGGCATACTTCCTATGACATTGATGCCTGTTTGTCTTAAACATAAAATAATGATATTGTCTGTGAAAGCAATTGCTCTG